CTTGCAGCTGTCAGCACAAAGGTAAGTTTTCATCGCTGGCTAACTCACTCTTTCACAACAGGACTGTAACCATCTAATTTCTGGATCCACACATTTTTATTTAGTATTTTCATGGCATTCTTTTCTCGAGCATATTTCTTGTGTCAGAGTGGAAATGCCTTACATATCTTGTGGCTGTGTAAATGTGTGTCATTTCTTAGTCATGTTTGGACTAGAAATATATTAATAAGTTAAAAATTTAATTCCCCTACATTGGCATAAACAAATGTTGGAAATATATTCTGTGTGCTATAATCAGATATTCTTATCAGGATGATTCTCTTAAGAAGCTAATAGTTGTTGGAGGAAACAGAAAAGGGAGTATGGAATGACTCATTTTCACGGAGTTTGAAGGTTTAAAAATTAAAATTACCTGCATATCTACAGGCTTCATGAATAAAGACAAATAACTTGTAAATTAGAAAAGTTTCAGAAAAGTGGCTACATTATTTAAACATTTCAATTGAGTGTAATGAATGGTTTTCTTCACAGTAAATAGAATTTATAAATTTTAATCTGACAGATACCATTATAAAAGCTGGAGGAAGATTGAAAAATCACACGCCGAAATAATGTCTATATTGCAGTATCTTAAATTGTATGAAAGCAATAGTTGCACAACATTTGCAGTTATTTACGTAATGACAGCTTATTAGGGAAAAGATGCCATTCTCTTTATCACATCTTCACTTGCTCCAGAAGTGTTAAGAAGCTTCTTTAATACTGACACTAAACAGTAAAAATAAATCACAGCAGAAGAGATGAACGTATCTCTGGCTGGACAGGGATGTGATTTTTAACAAAAATTCATCTTGCAGAGCTGGTACACATAGTGGGAGTACAAGAGTGATTAACCACAAGTTTAGGAAAAAAGTTTTCCATTAGATCAGTTCTATAAATAATGCCCCTTGATTTTTTTTTAATTAGTGAGTTTATGACATGATGTACCAGAGTAGATGCAACCCGGCCTGCATGCTGATTTAACTCACTGTAAGAGCAACCAGCCAGTTACACAGGAGTGATGGAGGGCTTTCTCCTCCTCTGTTGCCATCAGGTCTTGCATGGTGCTAAAGCACATCCTACCATATGGGAAGAAACTGTAAGGATTGCACTCTAAAGTGCAAATTGTCTTCTTTTCCACTTGACTATATGGCTGTGGGTGTAGATTTGCACACACAAAGGCAGATTAAATTGAAATGGTTGGTTACTGTGCCTGCCTGCCTACCACCACCTCTCTTGGTCACACCACCTACTCTGTGACAATAAGTGAACCATGTGTGTAGCTCTTTAGTCTCAGCCTACACAGCTGAATCAAAGCTTCTTCTGGGATCTATGAGAATGCTATGTTATAAGCTGAAGAGGTTCAGGAGCTGCTTCATATATGATTACATGCTTCTGTTGTAAGAGAACTTAGTCTTACAGCTTCTGGACAGATTCAAGCCTTCCATAATTATCTAAGGGCCTTAGAAATATGATCTCCACCCTATCATTCTTGGTAGTCACAAAAGGATCACAAATGTTATCTGCATTTCTTTGAACCAAAGTTGTTTAGGAGTTTGACAATCTGGTGATCAGACTGGAAAATGTTTGATTTTGCTTATAAAGTTTTCTGATCCCATTTATCCCACTTTATGGAAGTGATATCCAAATATATTTTGTGTTGGTATGGCTATACATTACTTGAGAACAAACTTATTCCCTCTAAGACCACCCAAAATCCTGAGATGTGGTGAGTAACTTAGAAATAGCTTTTATTCCTTCAATAACTGATTAAGAAATTCCAATAAAAGAATAAAATAACTTCTACAAAGTCAAAGCAATGGCTAAGGCATTGGTCAGTTGTTTTAGGCCAATATGGCAGATTCTTCATCTAGAAAACACACTTACATTTTAAAACCTTGCAGATAGTTTAAGAAATTACATAACAACAGTTCAGTTTTCACAATATTTTCTGTGAGGTTCCCTTCCCAATTTATTTTTGCAAGAATTAATTTTGCCATGAAAATATTATACAGAGGAGGTGTCTCTCTGATATGTTCTGGGAGCTGTTTATTCCTCTGTGCAATGTGAAAATTGCTCATGAAGTGATCTAGATGTCACCACACATAGCAGCAATGCAGAAAAAAAAATAAAATGGGTAAATTAGAGGCCACTGGTGAAGATAAAGATATAAAAATCTGATTTGGTGAAAAATATGAACCTGTCTTCTTGTTTTGTGATCTGGTTTATTTTTATACAATTTATTTTTTGATTTGTGACTGTTGGTCCGAATTATATTGTTTTAATTAAGCAAAGTTGTTCTGCCAGAACGCAGAGGGTCCTCAGCCTTCCTCACAAACCTCACCCCTAAAATAAGTGAGGATAACATGCAGACAGCAGAGTGCTTTTTTTAAAGATACTCTTATGCATGATTTTCCATTGTTGACATTTTTGTTTGTCTTTACTATATTATAGCACTTACCATATGATGTCTTAGTGAGAAATCTGGTCCTGCACAGTAGACTTGAACAAACCTATCAAATGTTCATACCTGGCCAGGGTATAACAGAACATCTGACTCTGGAGAAATCACTTCAGCTCAGTTTCTTTTCCACAGTATGCCACATCTCTGGCATAAATTGCCTTCAGATTTCACTCTATTCAAGGAGCTGTGGTTAATGACTATGAATTATGTCCAGTCATAAACCTGAGCACTGAAAATCAGGCTTGGGTGGAACCAAGGGACATACAACTGTGAGAACTAACTTTTTATTCAGCTCCTGCTTAACAGCCCTGTATTTCTCACTTCTTTGGGCCTGCTGATTGATTCTCGACATTCTCAGAGATGCCTCAGTCTTAACAGTCCTGAGTACTTCAACACCTCTCTGCTTTTAGCCCTGCTTAAATTTACAAAACTCTGCCCAATCTGTCTTCAGGTCATGCTCCAGTCAGATTGGGAACAGTACAAAATAGCACCTTATCTATTTTATATTCAGTAGATCTGTAATGCGATGAGTTACCCAGCACATTAAACCTCTAGACTACCCCCTCCTTTCTCTGAGGAAATTGAATCTCCGTATCCCACCTGATCACTAAACTATGAGACACCCTTACAAAGGGAGCAGAGAAAAAGGCTCGTAATCTCTTTTGTTAACTGCATCCTTTTCTCAACAGACTAATTAAAGTTTAATTAAACAAGAGGAAGAAAGACAACAGTAAGGACATTGGACCAGGAAGTAGAAGATATGACTTTCAGTTACTGTCTCTTAGGCCAAAGGAAATACTTGAATTTCTCTACTTGTGAAGCTGCTCCAGCCTTTAAATGATTGCATATTTGTCTTTGGCATGTCTTGTGCAAAAACTGTCACAGGCATCTGGATCTGAAAGAGGTTCAGGGCGATGAAGCCCAAGCCCTTGGATGGAGGAGAGGGGTTCAGAATTGAAAGCTTCTTGGTCTCCTCTCTGTGAGGCTTTTTTTTTTTTTCATGAGGCTCCCGACCAACCCTGTGTGTCCCATCTATCCTTTTACAGCCACTGCACAATACATCCTCATTAGAAATAGGCTGCAAGTTCTTCTGAAGCTAGCACAGACCCAAGTAAAGTGCTGTCATTTTCTGGATTGTTTCATACCATCCATATGTTCTTTAATTGACACAAATATGTGTGCCTTTGTAGTACAATTTTCAGAGGGAGAGGCTGAAGGTAAAACTGCCATTTGCTCTATTCTTTATTTTATGAACAGACAAAGTTAGGTTAAAGGTTAAAGGTAAAAGGTTAAAGGTTAAAGGTTAAAGGTTAAAGAAATGTGCCTGCAGCATGCAGTTTTTGTGCTTCACTTAGTATTAGTTTCCAAAAGGACAAGAAGATTGCCAAGGAGGAACAGAGCTATGTAAACTTTGGCTTTTGCAGTGCTCCCAAGGAAGACATGGGAAGAAGACAAACGAGGATGGTAATGGATTACTTACAGCAATTTACACTGTCACTTGTCAAGAGTGGCCCAAACCGAGCTCCTGACTGAGCACAGCTGCTCCTTCTTGGATGATCTCCTAAACTCAGGAGTGTCTATTCAAAAGCACCCCAGCTAGCACCAGCCCAGCTCAACACATCCACATCCATGTGGCACTGTGCAGCCAGACAGCTTTCAGTCTGAAAGCTGTGCCCATGTCAGCTGGCCGTTCTTGCCAGCAGATAATGAGCTGGGATGCAAAGCCAGCACTATGCAGTTCTGGTGTTTGCCTGGTCTCTGCTAACACAAGACTCGCTGCCCTGCGCTGCTGCACCTCAGTCAAACAGGGATGCTGGGAGCTAATCCCAGCTAAGAAAGACTGTGTTGGTTCATGATCTGGCAGACAAGCTCAACAGAAAGCTTAGATGAAGGGCACACTGTTCCCAGGACCTATAAACCCAAGCATCACACTGATGTGCATGTCATCTGAGCAGAGGGAGGTATTGAAAAGACAAAATAAACACTTATCCTGAGGCTTTTAAAACTGAATGCATAAAAGATGCTCCAGATGCTCTAAACTTTACACCTTTAATTTTCATCTATGTTCCCTGATAAATGTTAAATATCAAAAGATAATTGTGGTGGCAAAGATGCTGTGCTTGGAGACACTATAGAGATCTGTCAAGTTTATCAAATTTGCCAGGACAGTTTAAACATTACCAGTGAACATTTGGAGAGGAAGAAAACCTTAGGTATTGGAGGGCTCACTAACCTACCAGAATAAAAAATTATGTCTTTTTTATTTTTTTTTGGAACTAACTTTGAATGAAACCCAAGTCCAGCTAAAACTTAGGTGCAGCCCCTTTCAGTGATGCAATGGAATTTATGAACCACAATCAAACAGTGATGATTCGTCTCCTGCCAACTCCAGATCACATGCAGATGCCTTCCTGCAATCTGCTCCACCTGAATACAATTATTGGTCTCAATACAGGGACAGGAAAGAGAAGTCTGCTTTCCTGTTGTGTATGGGGTGTCTTGTAAGGTGATGGAAAACACAGCGGTCCTGAGCCACATGGCTGCGGCTTTGGTGGCTTCAGGTCTCTGGAGTAAGGTGCAACCCTGGGAGGAAACCGTGTCAACACAGCTCCAGTCAGGTGTGATAATGAGCATGGCTATGTAATGGAGCAGGCAAAAAGAATTTCACCAAGAGCTGTGTGTGCACTTTAAGAGGTGGGTCAAGTGATGGTGGGCAAGAAGAGAAAGAAACTGGAGGCTATTGCTCCTAGTGCAGCTCAGAACTGTTCTCCTCTCTCTAGCATGTGATGCAGGCCGTAGATGCACACAGAGCATACGTTGTAACTAGGAGAGGGCTGTATTCTTGGCTTAGTAAGTTCAGATCTGATTTTCCTTTTAATGCAAACTGCAGTCTATGCCAGAGAGATTAATCAAAAAGATGAAGTAGTTTTAGAATCCATTCAGGAAATGCTACCTTAATCATTGATTTTCTTTTACATTACAAAAAGAAATTATCCGAGAGGCCTCACATCAGGCACTCAGCATTCTTTATATTTGTTGCTAACAGTCTAATAAAAAGATAAGAATTGCTGCTGTCCCCCATCTCTCTGTGCCTGGCTGATACACATTATATTTTATATTTAAGTCAATATTTTTAGTTTTATTTGTATTTTGAAATCAAATATTCAGTGCTGATCTGTTCTGTTGGGCAAAAAAGACTGCTTCAAATGACTATTAAAATATTAATACACATTCAAGATTTTGTTATAACTGTGACTTTAGTCTGCAGTTTTGATTCTAATTAAAAACAGTAAATCTGTCAGAAAAATCTAATTCTATACCTTCAGGATCATTGTAAAACAGGAACATGTCATACCTCAATGTTGTTTTCCAGCAATACATCTTTAAAATAGGAAGGAGAGTTGTTTTTAATGACAACATCCCGATAAAGAATTTATGTTAGTGTCTTGCTCCTAAGAGTTCTTCAGTGGTAGCTTCTCATGGTAAATCATCAAAGGGTTTTATATGAAATCAAGTTTTCAATTCAGGTAATCCATCTGTATTGTAATGAAATGAGGCAAAGTGGAAAAAAAAAAGTCTGCAGTAGCCATATCCAGTGAGGTTCAATATATTTTCAACAGAACTTGATGCCAAACCATCAGTTTAAACAACCTCTCTTGCAATGTCTGTTAGATGCAGAGGGCTAAGAGGGAGTAAATATGATAGTTATTTCTCCTGCTGCCTTGTTTTGTATTCATAGTAATTGTTGCTATGCATATATTAATTTGTCTACCAATTTTCTGTGACTCTGGGGAACTGTTTCAAAGCCATAAGGATAGGTACGGAGCAATATCTTCCAGAAACTTGACATGATGCTTACAGCTTGTAGCTGAAAGATACAAATATTGTGAAATGGGCTGGGAAAATCTCTCCAGTAAAACTGAGCACATGTTTTAAGATATCCTTATATATCTGGTAATGTGGGGATAACAGTCAGTCACCTTAATACAGACCCAAAGCTTTTCCTAATAACTATTTGTAGGAACAACATCTACAACTGTGAGATTTTTATGGGCAGGAGACTAGCACTTGAAGGCTAGGAACAGAAATTACCTCTGAATATGTAGGGCTGGTATTAAACTCATGAGGTACAGGTGTGGACCCTTCTGCCATCAGGCATGGAGATAGACACTGGGGCTGTCTGCCTCCCAGAAACTGCTTCTCCTGAGGAAAATTTTGAACATTACATTAAGATTCAGGTTTTATGTTGCCTCCTTTCTCTCCTGGGTCCTTTGAATCATAAAATCATAGGAAAAAAAAAATGAGGTTGTAAGAGAGCTCTGAAGGTCTCAAAGTAGGGCCAGCTTTGAAGTTAGATCAAGTTGCTCAGGGCCTACTCTGGTTTGCTTTTGAATATCTCTTAGGATGGAGCTTTTACAGCCTCTCTGGGCAACTAGCTCTGGTGTGTAACTGCCTTCACTGTGAATATTTTTTTTCAATATATGCAATTATTTATTTATTCATTTATTTTTTGTTGTTGTTGTTACAACTTGTGTCTATTGCCTCTTACACTATTAGGAAAGGACACTTTTTATATATACCCATGAGAAGAGTGTGGCTCTACCTTTTTCTTTGAGGCAGATGAAGGCAGCGATTAGTGCCCGCCATGATGCTTCTCCTCCTGTGCTGAACCAGCCCAGGTCATTCAGCCTCTCACGGGGCAAGTGCTCCAGCCCAAACAGCTTGGGGACCTCTAGGGAACTTGTTCCTGTTTGTTAATGCCTTCCATGTGCTTCGCAGCCCCAAACTGAATCCAGCAGGACAGGTGGAACCCTACAGCTAGTAAACAGAGAGGAAAAGTCATTCCCTTGACCTACTGGCTGCACTTTCTGCCCTTTTGAGGCTGACCTTCTTCACCATGAGGACATGCTGTCCACTCTTGTCCATCAAGAAAACTCAGAGGTCTTTTTTTGCAAAGGTGCTTTCTAGCCAACTGGTGCATAGTCTGTGTTGTTGCATAGGGTTATCTCATCCCAGAGGCAGGACTCTAGATAGGTTGCTGTTAAAGTTCAAGAGTTTCCTGCCAGTCCATTCTTCCAGCTTGTTGAAATCTCTTTGAATAGCAGCTCTGCCCTTAAGCATGTCAACTGCTATTCTCATTTCATGTAGTCCACTGTCTTTTTGATGGTGGATTCTGCCACATTGTCCAGGCAAAGACACTAAACAGTATTAGCCCCAGTATTAACCAGTCATGGCCAACTATCAGGCAGACTTCAAATGATTGACCATTACCCTTGAAATCTGAAGGTCTATGCAGTTAGTCACGTGTCTTATAGCTTACTCTTCTGGTGTACACCTCCTAGGTTTGGCTACAATGAATTTTGCATCCGTTCACATAAAGAAGCCCAGCTTCAAGAGGAGGAATGGAAATTTCCCCCTTCCTCCTTTATTTGTCCTGTTCTTTTGTCTTTTCTGCAGATCTCTCATTGTGGGTGTGTTATAGCCTCCTTTGCTTACATAAAAGGTGAGTGGCAACATAGATTTTTGTTATGATTTTTGAATGAAAAAGACTGTAATTCTAGGCTGTCGTTGCAAATTCAGGGAAGTCTAAGTATGCTTGGTGTAGTAAAGACATCTGCTTGCTGTGCTATATTTGAGCTGGCATTGAGGCTCTCCCACGCATTGAACATGGCATTGATGTTGAGGTTTTTTCTCTCTCTGATAATTTATGTCTGTGCATGGATTCCTACTGCCTAAAAACAGATTGGACATCACATATTCCTGTTCCCAGCACACTGTCTGTTTTCCATCACAGCTCTTCCTTTTCTTCTGTCAGAGATAGATGGGGGAATCTACCCTTGATTGACCATCTAGACTGGAGAACTGTCTGGAACTACTGTATGTTCCTTTTGCCCGTGAATCTGACCTGAGTTTCCTTTCCACAGGAAGAATAAGAATTGAGATGGGAAGAGAAGAGGGTGTGATACAAGCACAAGCCAGGAAGGCAGCATGTACACCAAGACAGACTGCTACAGGTACACTTAATATTGGGCAAAGCGACATTCTGCAGATAACACTGCAGATTGTTTTCCATCTGCAGTCTCAGTATTAGTACAGAACTTCACATATACCTGGCCTACGTGCTGGAGACTGCAGCTGTAGCAATCTATCCAGTATTTATGCAGTTAACTATGAAGCAGTCATGAAACTTGCTCTCAGCAAATGGTGAGAGATCAAGTTTTGAATCTTTGTATTCTGTCACTTTCTTCCACAGCTTTTCATAGTAAACAAACACCTATGCCAGCAAGTGCTTGAGGTGACTAGTATTTCCATCTTCTTGTAAGTGTTCATTGTAGTGCACAATTTCCCCATGCAGACAGTGTTTTCTGTGCTGTTTATTAGTTGAGTATACACTGGTGTGTGTCATGTCTGGGAAGCATGAAGACAAAACCTAAAATGATAAATAAAAAGCATAGAATGAGGCACACGTTAAGTGGCACGCCCTTGAAGAAAGCACCACCCAGCATTTGGCTTGGCTGAACTTCCTGTCTCTGCCTGGGATTTCCAATCAGTTCCCTGCTAAAACTCAGGGCCTTTAAAAACCCATTATAGGTTTTTCTCTTTCTAAAAAGAAGGCTATTAGAGTAAGACATTTCCTTTTGATGTGGTAAATAAGACAACAGTCAGGGCAAACATACTTGGGATAGTATAAATCTGAATACAATTTTTCCACCTGTCAAAGTTTACTCCTGCTATACCCAACAGACTATAGAGTAATCTGGTGGCATGAGAAGGGTGGCTCTAACAGTATGCTTTGAAGGTGCTGCCCTTTGCATGCAAAAATATGAGTGAAATAAATTCCTATTATCCTACTGCAGAGAGGAAATTTGGGGCATCTCAGTTCCTATCTTAATATAAAACAGGAATTTTGTTTAAAAAAAAAAAAAAAAAAAAAAAAGACCTTTAATTAGATTATAAAAAGAGGATTTTTCAGAGGGATTTAGAAGCCTCAGTCCTAGGATGTTCTAAGGCTTGAGCTATAAGGATGAAGAAAGGAACTTGAGTCAGGACTTCCCATTTGGATTCTTGTCCATTGGGATCTTAGATCACAATCACAGGGGCACCAGGTTTTTCCCTTGAAATGTATGGTTAGACTAAACAATCAGGCCCTATTCAAAGGGAAGACAAATATCCCCAACTGGTTTCAGTTCAGTTGGGTTGCACAGATCTACACTGTCCAGGTTTTGGTAGCTGTGTACATACCCACTGCAAGGAACTAAAACCCTCTTTGGGCTTTTAGCCTTCCAAAAAACCTCTCTCCCCATAATTGCTATGTGTGGAGGAGCCAACACGTCTTATGACTGTTTATGCTTCCTCTACCACTGAGAATACACATATCACAACCTTCACATCACCTACACACTGCTGAATGTACTGAATGTACAACAAAATTATTTCAATAATTAAACTGCAAAATTATTAAATTATTTGAGACTCCAGCAGGAATATTAGAATTTTTATACCTTAGAATATCAAGTCCTCTTAAATAAGAACATATAACAGCAATAGCTGTTGAGTACATCATGTCTCACAAGTGCAAGTTGTACAAGTCAAGAAAGCCAAGGGTAGAACAGTTTGAAAAGTAAAGATACAGGTTTTGTTTTTAACTAAGTTTACTTTCAAAGCCTGGGCTTTTGTGCACACTTCACTGTGCTCAGCCTAATTTACTGTTATTATTTTTGTTGCTATTTTTGTGGTGCTAGGTTTTTATTCCTGTCGTCATTTTTTCCCCTATTTTATTTGTTATAAAAGTGTTTGTATATTTCTTATTCTTAAAGATGATTTAGAAAGAAAACAAAACAAACAAACAAAACCCTACAGGCTACAAATGTAATCATGAGGCTGGCAGTCAGGTTCTCCTGACTAGAAATTCCTCACTGTGTGTTTTCTTTTCTATACCAGTTTTAATGCTGGCTTTTGCAGCTCAGCCTAGAAATCAAGCAGAAAGTCACCATGTACTTTTTGGTGTGAACACACATTCTATTAACCTCATCTTTTAACTATCAACCTTTTTTCTTTGGCATGAAGACCCCTTTGGTGGAAGCTATTCTAAAAAGAAATTTATTGCTTTGCTTTTTGTCCATTTATATTCACAAATAAAAGAACATTTTGAGGAACAGCAGTACTGCTTTTGCTTCATGTCCTGAACAAGAAGGCTGTTGCGTGAAGTCCAAAGAAGCATGGAAGAATCATGAAAGATTCATACTTGTCATGTTTTCACAAGGTGGATTTAACTGAGGAAAAGACATTCTGAAACCACAGAAGGGAAACGTGTGTTGCATATGCTATCGGATACACTCAGATGGTGAGAGGAATGTGTGACATGCTGCTCTGTGCTTGAAAGCAGTGTTTTTCATTCATTCTTTGTGTTTAGCAAACTTGCCTTTCCACAGGAAGAATTACTGTGATTTCAACAAGTGTGGAGGTGGACCAAGTCAGACACCAGTCTGGCAGCCAGAGAGGATGGTGGGCTCCTGGTGCTCCCTTGTACCCCACCAGTACCCCCTTCCCTCTTTGCTGCAGCTTGCCACAGCTGCTGCTTGCCAGGCACAAGGCTCTAGCTGTGAAGTAATGCTGCTGGGTTTCCTCCAGGCCCTCTTCTTTGGGCAAGGTGGAATAGGGAAATTTATGAAAGGCATTTTTCAGCCCCTGTGCAGCTTCCTTCTTGCAGCTTTCTCTCAACCTGTGCCTATTTTACATAACATTCATTCTTGTGGCATGTCTGATTTAGCCTCTGGGCTAAGTGGAGTGCGTAATAGTTCAAGCCAGTTGAAGATTGTTCCTTCATGCAATAAAACTGTGTTTGCTTCATTTGCCATTAATGATAAGCAAGAAGTTCTGTAAATCAAACAGCCTTTCTTTTACTCCCTGTTACAGAATTATTCATAACAACGATTTCATTTGGCATTCTATTAAAAGATTTTAATTTCTCCAGATGGAAGTCGATTTCTATTCTCTCTTTCCCATTACTTATATTTATGTTAATATTGTAAGGGCAGTTTGACATGGGGTCTTTCATTTAAAATGTGTGAAAAATAAGGAAACTGTGAACGAAATGATTTCTTACCAGTGCCATTTTCTAGCTATTATGTTGCAGAATGTGAAAACTCTGAAGAGCATGATGTAATTTTGTTTTTGACTCTGCTTATAAAAGAAGGGATGGAAATACAGAGCCATCTTATTTGCTGTCATTGCAGAGGCAGTGAGCCAACCCATTTCTCCTGTTGTGCTTTTTCCTAGAAAAGGACTAATCTTTCCTCTCCATTTAAATGCTCCTTCATCTGAAGGCACTCACACACACCTCCAATTACACTAACTCCACATGTTCCTGCTGTGCTGGCTGTTCCTTGCAACGTTTTCCTTTCGCTCTGCCCTCGGACATTACTCTCTTTTCTTGGAAGTGGTGTATTTTCAGGCAAGACCCAAAGTCTGCAGAGCCTCAGTGGTTTCACCTATGCAGCTCACAGCAAGAGACTCACCCCATGCTGCTGCTGCAGCCAAGCACTGATGCTCTCACTGCTTGCAGGCTTTCTTTTAACCCCCAGCACTGGCGATTCTTAAAAAAGGCTATTAAACAGAGCTCCTCTTCTCCCCATCTGACTGACACCAGATGTGCTGGGTTCGGCTCAGCTGGCAGCAGTTCTTCTCATGTCTTTTGAGGTGCTTTCACAAAGCCCATGGCTTGTTCATTAGGAAAGCGTTACAGCTCATAGGCACACTTAATTAGTACTTATGAATAAAAGAAAAGTAAGAAGGAAAATTAGGGGAGTAGGAACAACAAAAATGGACTGGAAGAAAAGTAATGTAAATCCATAAGAGCAACTCACCCCAAATATTAATAAACTGTATATTGATGCTGTAGGTTTTATAATGATTTTTCATTCCCACTTTCTCCAACATAAAGCAAATGGCATGTAGTCCAGCCAAACCAGCACACACACACACGTGCATTTCAGTCATACAGGCACCTCTGTGGTGCCAAACAGCCAGGAAACAGAAGACTACTTCAACAAGGACAACAGAGTAACCGTGCGCATGGTTGTCATCAATGCCATCATGAATTTTTTAACAACCAGCTGAACCAGAGCTACCAGGCTTACTTTACTTGCCTTGCTATGGCTGCAACTCATTGTTAAGATTTTTTATTTAGTTATTTATTTATTTTTTCACAAGTACATTATAAAAAGCTTAAAAGCATGAACTGTGCTGCAGAAGTGACACTTTACTCTCTCAACAGCTAACTAGAGGCACCAAAATTCTTCCTGGAAAAAAAAAGCTATAGTCTCAAAAAATCCATTGACTGAGGGAGAATAAAGATATTGAGAGCCTTGCTGTTAGAAGTAATTTGGTGTAGCATGTAACTAAAGATTATACCCTGGTATAGAAAACACACATATTGACTGAACAAAGGTTAAGTATCACTTGGGGCATAATTAATGTTCCAAGGCTTTTGGTTGCTTGACTGTGTGATTCTACTGTAACTCTTTTAAGATGGACAGCTGTTTCTGTGATTGTATTCAAACATGGTCCAGTAGGCTTAGCACAGCTGGTGAATCCTATTTATTCACTAGGCAATACACACATTTTACATTTTCTAAGAGAACGAATCAGTGAGCAGAAGAAATCTTTACATCAACTATCATGGTGTCTCAACTCTTCCAGGATAAATAAGCCCAGAAAAAGCAAGGAGTTGCAGCAAACTTTGCTATTTCTGTCGGAGCAGAAGGTCGTGACTCAAACTTTTTTATTTCCTTTGACTCCAAATAGTGCCAGCGAGTCATTTCAGGAGAGAGAGGCTGCCCGTGGGCCAAGGACTGGCCACCACTGTCTCTTTCTATCTGTCTGTTTATGCTGGGTTTTCACACCCTCTCTGTGTGCTGTGGTCTTATGCTACTCTTATTTTTAATAGCAACAGCACTGTCCCAAAACACATCAGCCTGGAAGACCTACTTCCAGTTCGTGCCCTAGCTGTCAGCAGTGATCATTTTCCCCCGGAAATTGGATTTTATGGCAATTCTGTGTAGCTCCAAAACTTCCTGTCAAAACATGGCTCATCAGCAGGCTGTCGGGTAAGGAGGGGAACCGAGCTTCTCATTTTTAGCATTAGGCTGAAGAGAGAAAAACAACCATGACAGGTCAGATGATCCAGGTCTGGGTAATAGGAAACAAACATTGGGTTGGGACTGAAATAATTGAAGAGCCAAAGGATTTCTTTGCCAGCAGAAATAATTCAGTGAAGATAAAGGCCTTGTGCTCTCTTTTCCTTCCAGCATATCTTTGCCTCCAAGCTGGGTCAGACTCAAAGCTTGTCAAATAAATTAAACAAATCAAATACAGTTCATAGCTTTCCCTTCACAAAATTCACTTTATGAATAGTCTGTGGATATTCTTGAGTCATTATGCCAGCTCTGTAATTATAAAGGGAAAAAGGATATTTCATGCAAATTTCATCAAACACAATCTTCAATGAGTAGCACTCAGCACATGAGCCCTAGAGTTGCTGTAAGCTCTTTTTCCCTCCTAATTTGCAGTTTTCACCTAGGTTTTTCAAGTACCTCCTGCCATCTCAAAAGGTGCAGTGCACTTCTGTACCAGGGAGTTTGCCCTGACTCCCCTGCAAACCTAGAGTTGCCTTCCCCCCAAAACAGTTTTACTTTCTCTTGCAAATGCAAATCTCTTTGCATAGGACAATTCTCAGCATGGGCTGATTCATTATAATAATTAAAAATAACGATGGAGAGGCTTGGCCACATCCCCCACTTTGTTGTCTCGTTTCCTTTTCCCTTCTTTTCCTGAGCACTCATTAGTCCAAGCATCCCTGTGGTCAGCAGTAAAGTTGGACCTAGCACTACTCCAGTAGACTGCATCATGCTGATGTTTTCTTTTTTCATGAGATTCAGAGGCATTTGGGCATCTAGTTGTCACTTGTGTCTTTGGCAAACTCCCAGAAGATGCTCATCAGTTTGGAATAGCCATCTTGTTAACTTTTGAAATTTGTCAGTGTGCAGTACTATACCTGAGGGCATTCTGTACACAGGGAGGTGGAAGACATTGAGGCATCTGAAAACACTGCTTTAGTCTATTGTTCAGATTTAATATGCTCCATACAAAATGTCCTTCAGGTCTTGTTCTGACAGACACATGGGCTATACCTAGGCAAGAATTGGCAATGAGAGCAAGCACAGGCAGGCTGAAGGATGGCAAGTTTAGATGGAAATTTAGGCTTGACATCAGGAGGGGGTTCTTCACAGAGAGGGTGGTTGCACACTGGAACAGGCTCCGCAGGGAAGTGGTCACTGCACCGAGCCTGTCTGAGTTTAAGAAGAGATTGGACTGTGCACTTAGTCACATGGTCTGAACTTTTGGGTAGACCTGTGCGGTGTTAAGAGTTGGACTTGATGATCCTTAAGGGTCCCTTCCAACTCAGGATATTCTATGATTCTATGATTCTAAGTGTCAGCCAAGAAGGAATCGGCAGGAGAAAAAGAAATGAGGATTAAAACAAATTCTATTTCATGCATTAGGCAACTGGAAATTGTAAACTTTTTTTTTTTCAAGTTCTAAGGTTTGACTGTCTTGGGATGAAGAGCCCTACATTGCTATCCTCAGTAGCTGACTAGAAACAAACACGACCCCTAGTCTGAACACAATAGACTTTAACTATGATCCCTACAACACCATTTTGCATCAGCATTATGAGAATGAAACCTTATTAAATGCCTCGAGACTGGATCTCTGGCTATATGGTACTGTGGTTTCCTGTTTCTAATAGTGCAAACCCTATAGGAAGGTTTGCTGAAAACTACTCTGGGTGTTTTACTATGCAGCATGTGGGTATCCTGATAAAACCAAATTTCTTCTTCACTTCTGCACCAGCAAACTTGTTCTGACTAAAGCTGATAATGGGAACACAGACTGCAGGAATCTGTCTCTAGTACAGCTTGCTTCATAAAAACCTCGTATGTAGCAGACAAAAGCGCAAAAGGACAAAGACAAGGACAAAATGTAATTCTCAGAGAGGAAAGCAAGCTGAAGTTAGTAAGACAGACTGAGGGCTCAAAGTGTGCTAGTGGGGTTCATTTGGTTCCTACCTTCTCCAGATTTCATGTTAAAAATGCTCATGAAAGTTTAGATTTTATTGAAATAGATGTGTTGAATACTGAAGTTGAGACTGAAATATCAAAAACATTAAAAAATGCTGATTTTGAGTCTTGTGAAATGGAAATTCATGTCTCCTATTCCTGCATTACACGGGAAGGAGCTGACACTCAGCAAGATGCGTATAACACATCTCTCCTGCACCCCACATGACATGCTGGGCCAGCTGGCAGCCCTGCCTCCATGGCAGCTCAGAGATGTACCACCTCTCCTCCCTCCTAGCTGAGCTGCTGAGTCCTTCCCAGACCACTTCAGGGAAGAGGCATCAGCTTCACCTGGCTGTAAATGCCACAAAAACAACATGAAAGCAGGTTCTGTATTTCAAAGCATGCGATACAGTTTGTTTGAGCACAGCACGCAAACAGTTGATCAAGCTGCAAAGCATTTGTTTAATCCAGAAATTGGATTTGAAGACAGAAATAAAACAGTTTTGCCTCTCAGCTCCTCAAAAAGGCTCCAGCCAAGGAAGTCCCCTCTTGCTGTATTTGTACCCATTTTCAGACAGTATCCAGTCACTTGCAGCAGTATTTTAAATGCAGCTGAGGCGGGACATGGGATGCCTCAGAGGACAGAGCCAATTTAACAGCTTCAAAACAGCATAAGGGGTCAATCTACTTTGAGCTGCTGCTTTTAACTTCAGAGTTCAAACAAATTCATTGTGGCCTACCATCATCACTGCTGAAAAAAATAATTCAGGTTTCAAAAGCTACCTGAATCCCAGTGCTGCAGATACATAAGATCATTTGATACAGCCTGGATCCAAGTCAGGAGGAAATGAGAGCACATGAGGCCAGCAACGAACGTGCTTCTGAGGGCACAGCGCTGCTGCCACACTGCGTGCCGTTTACCTTCTTTCAGAGGAGCTTTACCAGCTCTGCTGCTCAGGTGTCCTGTCCTCCAGACTCAGGTGTGCCACTGAGCTGAATGAGGCACAGAGTCTGGGACCCAGAGAAAGAGAGCATTGTGTCATGCTTCCGGTGCAGAAAATACAGGCACCATAAAAGAGGAGTGTGAAGTGACCAACAAAAGAGTATTTCAAAGCAAG